CAGGACCGCCCCTGGAGCACAATGGCCTCTGTTCACTTCTGGTTCAAACTGCCTCCAAGCTGTGTGAACTTGAGCCAGGAACTGAACCATTCGGGTGCCTTGGTTTCCCCATCTATGAAATGCATTACTAGGGTTGTTCAAGGAGCCATATACATGAAACTCTTGCAGCGATACAGGTGATTGTGTGCTCTTACTATTGTGTTGTTATTGAGGGCGCCATGATGGGTGGACGTGGAGACAAAAGGATACAGGTGGAGACCAGGGATCAGGAGGAGAGGGAAAGGGTTGGTAGGGGCCACAAAAGCCAGCTGGGTGTCTTTGAGACAGCTCCCCTCCCGAGGGCCTCATTAAGCCCCCCTAGGAAATAGGACCATCTCCTCATGGACCAAAATATTTTATGAGTCAGGTTTCCAGCAAGGAGAGGAGAGTGGGGTGGGATTACCAGGCCTGAAAGCGTCCTAGAAGGGACTGTCCCACACAATTCCTTGTGTCCCCGCTCCGATGAGGGGGCAGCCCTCACCCTGCTGGGTCTGGGAATCTGAGCCACTGGGTCTGGGGATGTGAGCCGCCTCCTCTTCGGACATCGTGCTTGCAAACAGGGTCACCTGCAGGGCAGGATTGAAGTAAGAGGGGCACTGCCCAGGCGTCAGATCCTGTCACAAAGACCTCTGGGGCGCTGAGCTTCCATCTGAATAATGGAGCATTCTCGGGGTTCAGACAATGCATGTCCAGAGCTCTGTACACAGGAGGTGTCTAATAATGAGCCTCTGGCAAGGTGGGGTTGCTGGAGTGACTTGTGAAGCGTGGTCTCTGAGGTGAGAGAGACCTGGGTTCAAATGCTAGCATTTAATGTGGTGTTATTTTTATTCATTTATTTATTATTATTATCTTTTTTTTGAGGTGAGGTCTCACTCTGTCGCCCGAGGCTGGAGTGCAGTGGCGGATCTCAGCTCACTGCAAAGCTCCGCTCCCGGGTTTAGCCCATTCTCCTGCCTCAGCCTCACCGAGTAGCTGGGACTACAGGCGCCCGCCACGCTCTCCGGCTAGATTTTTTGTTTTTTTAGGTAGAGACGGGGTTCACCTGTGTTCTAGCCAGGGATGGTCTTGATCTCCTGACCTCGTGATCCGCCCGTCTCGGCCTCCCAAAGTGCTGGGATTACAGGCTTGAGCCACCGCGCCCGGCCTATTTATTATTTTTAAAAGACAGAATCTCTCTCTTGCCCAGGCTGGAGAGCAGTGGCGCCATCTCAGCTCACTGCAATCTCCGCCTCCCAGGTTCAAGTGATTCTCCTGCCTCAGCCTCCCAGTTAGCTGGGATTACCCACGTGCCACCATGCTCGGTTAATTTTTTTATTTTTAGTAGAAACGGGGTTTCGCCGTGTTGCCCAGGCACGTCTCAAACTCCTGGGCTCAAGTGATCCGTCCGCCTCAGCCTCCCAAAGTGCTGGGATTACAGGCATGAGCCACTGCACCTGGCCTGCTGTGTGATTTTTGGCAAGCGCCTTCACCTCTCTGGGCTGTTTCCTGTTTTGTTAGATGGGGGAGGTCCCTGCTACCCCTGCAGTCCCTGCCTGGGCCCAGAACTGCCCAAGCACCCCGGACGGCTGGAGGTGGTAGCTGCTGAGTCCTAGTCCACTCACAGCTCATTTGACAAACAGGGCAACTGAGGCACGCAGCAGGTCCATACTGGTCCCAAGGTCACGCAGCCAGCTAGAGTTAGAGGGGGGAGCTCGACTTGTCGCCTGCGATCCCTCCGGTTGCCACCCCGCGTCCTCTGAGGCCTGGTCCTCGCCCAACTGGGTCCTGAGCTGGGGCCAACTGGGCCAAGGGTCCCAGCCACCTGCTCTGGCCCGTCGTACCCGTCCCACGCCGCCGGACCTTCGCCCAACCACCCTATCTGGAGCTCCTCTCCTGAGCCCGGGGGACGCTCCTGGACGCCGCCCTCAGGGCACTCACCTGTGCGCGAGCGGCTTCAGACCCCAGGTGTCTCCGCTGACCCCACGCTGAAGTCTCCACCCCCTGCTCACCGGCCCCGCCCATCTTATATCTGCTTGCGGAGTGGGGGCCTCCGGAACTGACCAATGGGGAGAGGCCGTGCGGGGGCGTGCCCAGGGGGTGTGGCTCCAGGCTTCCCTCGCCCTCTCCTTGGGCTAGCCCAGTGCTCTGCGGTTGCCATAGCAATCTGGGAGCGCTGGATGCAAAAGATTGATCTATTATACTTTATTATACCAAGTTTGTCCACCTGTCACCCTCACTGCTGTTGCCATGGAGATGGTCCATGCGCTCACAGCCCCCATGGCCCTGCTGAGTGACCTTGGCCAAGTCGCTGAAGACTTTTCTTATCATTAATTATTATTATTTATCGATTTTTGAGACTGGGTCTTGCTCCGTTGCCCAGGGCTAGAGTGCAGTGGTGTGATCATAGGTCACTGCAGCCTTGCCTTCCCAGGCTCAGGTCATCCTCCCGCCTCAGCCTCCTGAGTAGCTGGGACCACAGGCACACACCACCACGCCCAGCTAACTTTTTTTTTTACTTTTTGTAGAGACGAGATCTCCCTGTGTTGACCAGGTTGGTCTTGAACCCCTAAGGCCCAAGTGATCCTTCCACCTCAGCCTCCCGAATTGTTGGGATTACAGGTGTGAGCCATTGCACCCAGCTTCTTTTTATTTCTTAATCTGCCCCTTAACTAACCGGAAGCCAGGTCTGCCCTTTCCCTAGGATCCCCATTTTACAGCTGAGCAAGCTGAGGCTCAGATATGGTAAATCTCTTGCCTTGTGTATCATAGCAGGTGAATATCCTATTCCTTTTTTCTTTTTTTTTTTTTTGAGACAGCATCTGACTCTGTCACCCAGGCTGGAGTGCAGTGGTGCAATCTCAGCTCACTGCAACCTCTGCCCCCTGGGTTCAAGTGATTCTCCTGCCTCAGCCTCCCGTTCGAGACATCCGCTAAACACGTAAAACCCCGCCTACTAAAAACAAAATAACCGCGCGTGGTGCGGCGCCTGTAGCTTCAACTACTCGGAGGCTGAGCAGAGAATGGCGAACACCGGAGCGGAGCCTTGCAGTGAGCTGAGATCCGGCCAGCACTCCAGCTGGGCAACAGAAGCCAGACTCCTCTTCAAAAAAACAAAAAAAAAAAAAAACTCCTGGAACTGGATGGATGTTGGCTTGTTGTGTTCCCTACCTAGCAGCTTCAATCAACTTTCTGAGGCACTCCAGGGAAGGAGGAAAGGCATGGCCGGCCTGGGGTGTGGGCGGTGCTCCGGGGTGACAGTTTGGGATCAAAGCGTGACTTTGCCTCTCCCTTGCCCCCATTACGGACCTAACGAATAAACTTTGGACCGTTTGCCGCGGGTGTCATTTTACCAGGATTCTGGCCCAGGGGCCT